GCCAGGTCATATATATATACATATACAGCCTAGAATACTTTTTCAATATCTTTAACCCTCTAAGCGGCAAAGCCGTATATATACGGCCTAGAATATTTTTGTGATATCTGTAAGAACGTATATATACGTGCATATTAAAATATGTCAAAGAAATTAAAACAATATATCAAAATAAAACAAATCCAGGTATGAAATACCATCAGAGTTTTTTACATTAAAATAAAAAAATAACTTGTTCTCATAGTAGTTTTGGGAAATTTGCACTTTCTTAGGGAAAACCCTGTCCGCTCAGAGGGTTAAGAAAGTATGAAGGCACTAGGAAGCAGAATTTGGAAGCTACAGAGACTGCGTCGGGCAGCAAAATGCCTAACATCTGCCCTAATTTTGATGTAACATGGGCTCATAATTAATATATTGGTTATATCATTAAAATCCAAAAAATCTGATCACAAAATATAATTCTGGCTTAACTACTAAATCAACCAATACACAAAAGTGCAATGAACTATACCAATGCAATTTTAAAAAAAGATGGCTAGACTTTTTTTTTTCAAACTGCAACATCCATTAATAAAATTTTCATCACTTAGATAAGCACATCTAAAAATAGTTTTCTCAGGTAAATATATATTTGAAATATATATTATAAAGAAGAAGAATTCTGTCTTTCAGAAAAAAAAAAGGAAGGAGGAAAAAAAATTGAGCAATAACCAATAAAATTTTATTTACCCTTTATGTACAGAACAGGTTACATAATCAAAATGTAAAAATTTTACCACAAATAACCATCAAAGATTTTTCAAAAATTCAAAATCAGGATTTATCACTAAAACACATAGTATATAATTTTATTTTTTCCTTTTGATAATTTTGCAATTTAGATAAGTGCTTGCTTACTTTGGGACACAATATTGGGGGAGAAAGAAAAATAAATGTTTTTTAATGTATATCTATATATTTTATGTGTATCTAATAATCTAGTGTGAAATATTCAATTTTCTGGTTTTAAAAAATTTATAATTTCTCTACAAATAAATTCTCGTTCATAGTTTCGATGCTTAATATGCTCTTAATACTTAAATATCCTCTTTTATTTCTATCAAAATGTTTCCGAATAAGACTGAAGAGATGTTGTATATAATGAGTAAAACAATCTAGAAACTATACCGCAAGGATTTTTTTTTTTTTAATTCCTTTATTATATAATGCTCTTAATACTTAAATATCCTCTTTTATTTCTATCAAAATGTTTCCAAATAAGACTGAAGAGATGTTGTATATAATGAGTAAAACAATCTAAAAACTATACCGCAAGGTTTTTTTTTTTTTTTTTTTTTTTCCAATTTAGACACACACACACATACATATATATATAATAAAGGAATTAAAAGTAAATTAAAAATCCTATGACTTGTGCTAAAGCTGCAAAGTAATAAACCAATAATTCATAATAATTTATAACAAGAAAACTTTCCATATACCATCTCCAAGGAACACAAATTAATTTTAAAACCATCAAAGAAAAAATTTTTAGAATTTAAATTAGTATTTCAAATAATTCAACTTCTTGTTTAAAGTAAGCATCAAATTATTTGCTAGATTCAAACCATAAGTCACAATAAATACTCAATCCAAATAGACATTAGTCCATTTAAGCCAATAGAATCTTGTGAAACAAAATATAATAATCTTAAAATTAAAGTTCTCAGTAAGAACACAATTAATCTGAACAAGATGCTTACTTTAGAAGACATATCCCCTACACTCTCGTTTTCAAATTGAGAAACAGAAATAATTTTTTCATCGATGGTTTTATATTTAATTTGTGTTCCTTATAGATGGTATATGGAAAGCTTTCTTATTATAAATTATATATATATATATATATATATATATATATAGGCGTGTATTTATAAAGAGAGAGATATAATACAGTACAAAGTCTTTAATCCAGACTTCGGCGATTCCAGATTAGGGTTTTTTCCGGATTATAGATCATCCATTTAACTCTCGTAAGATGCATGCAGAAATTATAAAATTAAAAATATGAAACCGTAATTTATGAAATAAAGAACAATTGTGATCTAAAGAGTATCAAAGTTTACAAAAAAAAAAAAAAAAAAAAAAAAGCTTAGTATTTATTTGTTTACTTTATTAAACATTTCTTTCAATGTAAGTTGTTTAAGTTGCTTCGTTTTATGTGCTAATACTTTCTCTTTAATTCTATAAACAGACATAATTTCTTGTTCAACTACAAAAATCCATTGTTCAAGTCCTGCAATTGCTGTGCCAAGATTACCGAATCACTTGTGAATCAAAATTTTTTCGTTTTCACTAACCTCTGTCACTTTCTTCATGTTTTTATCCATTTTTTGCAGCAATTCTACTTTTCGTTTGATGGACATTGAAACATGCTTTCACTTTGTAGATCCTTTGGCAGCTCCAGAATCAGAAACTCTTTTTGACATAATCGAAAGTTCAAGCTTAGTTTTTATAAAATTGCTCTAACAGTCTGCAAAAAATAATAAGCCGGATGCAATTAGAAGATTAAGGAACAACACAATCTACAACATTAACTGAAATAGATAATTAGATAATTTTAACCTAGCTTATACCGTCCATTATACATTAAACGAGCGCATGTGCAGAAAGTTTCTAGCTTTGATGTCCAGATTATAGATCATTCCGGATTAAAGACAGTACTGTACTGAGAATTTTAAAGTGAAAAAATTTATACATATATATATTGTACAAGCATTTCTAAGCTTTAATACATGCATTTTTATAATTATCAACTCCAAGTTAATTGCACTAAAAAAACTGATCAAATGTCCTTTTAATTAACAGTAAATATTAATAGTTGTTATTAATTTGTACTAGTAACATTACATATATTCTGATTTGGCATGTTATATGTAACATTTCTGCTTTCTGTAAAAATCAACAATTTAGGGAAAATGGAAGTTTAAGCAAATTTTTAGCTACTTAACGTATTATTCGGTCAACAGTGAAACTCGCCAAGCAGTACAATTCAGCATATTACTAATAAATGTGACATAACACACTCATAACATCTGTACTTTTGTTCTATGTACCTCCAATTGGTTCTCGATAATTTTTATGAAGAAGAACGTAAATTAACTTTTATTGCTGTATTTTTTAATTTCAGGGGTTGGGGGTGGGGAGATTAAAATTTGGGATCTACCTTTTACAGAACAGCAATCAATGGATTATTTTAGTTTTGGGATCCTAACATCACTTGCATCAATGGACACGATATGGTCAGCTAAATATGGCCGACAAAACAGAAATAGACTGGGACAGAGCGGACATACAATAACAGAAATTTAAGAAAGCCTTTTGATGAACAATAAAAAGGTGTGTACGATCAATTACTGGTCACGTATTAAGCAAAGAGGCATAAGTTCCTTCAGAATTCCACAGGAATGACTGGTGCAACTTTTGCAAGATCTTCACCAACTTTCATGGTTTGATGGTCTCCATCAAATTTCACAGTGGACAGGATAATACCGTACTTATCTTTTTTCTATCATATTCAGTCTGAATGAAATATGAGTCATGTCTTACATTTTTGCCAATTTTTTCTTGCTACTGATTAGTAACTTAAGAACACATTAGTAAACAGAAAATATCATACAAGTTAAGCATTTATTATGGAAATTATTTACTATAATACAAAGACTCTTATCATTTTCATAGTTATTAAAAATGTTAACCAGTGGTCACAAGAAATGTAATTTAAAATATTGATATGTTCATCATAAAATATTATATGAATTCACATGCAACATTTAACAAGAAATGTAATTTAAAATATTGATATGTTCATCATAAAATATTATACAAATCCACATGCAACATTTAACATATTCAAAAATTACCTAGAAATATAAATCTACAATTTTTAGTTACAAATACTATATACAATTTACAAGGATGGAACTACACTTATGATTATATATCACCATGATCATTTAAAATAAAAATGTTAAATTCACTAAATAGCTAAAATGCTAGTTCAGGCACTTATTCCAAAACTATAGAGGTAGAAAAAAATATAACTTTCATAATACAATAGAAATGGATCTAGAATTACAGTTAGTTATAAATTTCATATACTTTGATAAATAGTGTAATAGGAGCTTATTATATAAACCCTTTCAGAGCTAAACTTTGTAGATTTTGTTATAAAGTTCTACTCTTACACAGCATTTATTATACTGATTTGACAATCTGCTTAACTTCTTCAGAAAATTCAAATCATTAGCGAGAATTAGAAAACAGCATATTTTAAATGCATACTAATACTAAATAGGAACACATCTGAAGGTCATACAGATAGGGAAAAATTATCTGGAAGACTAATTTAGTGCAAATGAACAAGCAGCACAAATTTTTCAATTTTTATACTTCATGTTTAAATAAGTAGTTGGAATTTTACAGAAAATTAACACATCAAACTTTACAATAACGAATTCTAACACATATTTTAAATATCTTATTGCTGTACATAATATGGTGTAAACAATACAATTTTTTGGCTCTAGTGTAGAACCAGGTGCCCCTTCGATTAGCAACAAATTTTGTTCAATTTTGGCAATGAAACCCCATTTCTGGTTACCATAATAATTTTAACTCTTAACTTCCTGACTTTTTTTAAGTGAGAATAAATCGACATGTACATGGACAAGGTTAAGTGGTAAAATCCTAGTATACGGTGCACCCTTGGCACGATTTTGAAAATTATCGCCAACACCAAAATGACTCGTTTAACTACTCATCATATATGCCCCATTTACATCTCATTATAAAGTCGCCAAATCTCTTATGCACCGGATACTAGGATTAAACCGGTTAAGTCAGCACACAATACCTAGTTTGTGCAATTCTGATATATATATATTTTTTTTTTAAAGTGAAAATAGATTGATGTGTACATGGACACAGAGTTTGTGCAATTCTTTGATTTCTTATTTTGGTTTTGTGTAATGGCCATCTTGAAATTGTCCCTTCCTGGTGCAGATCTTGGCATCAAAAAAGAATCGCCAAAAAACAAGGGGCACCCAATTATAAACTTTTACCAATTTTTTTTTAATGTTAACAAGATTACAAATTACATTTCTCCACCCATAGTATTTCCCTTTCACTAAACATTTAAAATTATGCCACTAACTATTTTAATAAAAACATGGATTTAAATATTAAGAGTACGATTAACACAAATATTTCTTGCAGTGTTTTGATTTGCATTTACATAACACTCTTACAGAGCTTTGTGCACCACGATTCTTTAGCATTTTATAATCAAATGTCAATTCTTCACCACGACGAATATTTTTTCTTGCAAAAAAAGCAAGCCTAGGTAAATTAGGATCTGGCTGATTGATCCAAACAGCGAACACATGAAGATTTGGGCTACAAGAGTGGTTAATAAAATGGGCTGCATTTCCAACAGGTCCTGCATCAACAGTGTAAGTGCAGTGTTCAATGCCATAATCGAGGTCAAACAAATAAGATCGACCAACATGATCATAAATTTTCCCACGAGCTTCTGCAGCTTCTGAGGTAATTATCTCACCCAAATATTCTAAAACAAATTGTCCTTTGTGAATAGCTTCAAGAGTTTTTAAACCCCAACCACAACCATTAGAAGTCCTAAAAATTGCAACTTTTACCTTTTGGCCATGCTGAACAACTCGATTGATGCAAGTCATAGGGCATTTACATAATTTATTACACTCAAAGACAGGATAACCTGGAGGTAATGCTAACCTACCATTTTTATCATAAGCAAAATACCCATCAGAATCCTTTGGACAGCAAGAATCGTGACTTTCAAAGCAATTGTCACATTGACAAAATGCAATAGGTTCTTTGCAAATGTCAATACCTGAAGCTACATAGTCATGGATGAATTGGAAATCAGTTGGTGGTGTTTCAAGATCTACATCATTTTGCACTTCTATGAATGCAGCAGGATTACACGAATTTATTTTAATTTGCCATTCCTTAATTTTAACAAGAACAAGCTTTCTAGACTCATGTAATAACATTATATTTATCAAAGTTTTGGTGATTTTACGAAGTTGATGATGTGAAATATTACGAAGTTCCTTAGCTTTGATTTTTAAGCTTTTAATGCTTAGATCCATCTTAAAAACTAATGCTTCAGGAGAACCAGACATTAATGCATATACTTTTTTTAGGGTCAAAACATCATATGGCTTCCTTGTGGTTATTTCATGTACAAAAAAATTAAGCATTTTTGATGTCAGTTTCGGCTGGCATCTTCGAAGAGCTTCATAATACTCGATCAATTCTTTACATCCAACAAGATTGGATTCAGGTTCCCAAGTGCAGGTATCCATATCATAATTCTGCCACTTGATTAAATACTTTTTTTCACCTCGTTCCACTTTGTTTCCTACAATCATGTCAACTTCATATAGTGAATTATTACTCATTTCATTTAACACTAAACCTAACTTTTTGCAAGTTTTACTCAGGTCTTTAATGGTTTGCAAACAATTTACAGAACATTCATTTAAATAAATACCTAGTTTCTGATCATCTGCTAATACAACTGTTAATTCAGAATCAGCTGAACGGTCAATAAATTTTAAACTCTGATTTTCACATGCTTTTTTCAGTTTTTGAATACTTTCTAAGCATGTAACATTCAGATGTTTTACTGATTCGGATTCACTATTATTATTAAGGCAATGTTCATTATCAGTTTCAGGAGACAATTCTATTTCATCTTTCTTATCGTGATTCTCCTGATTTTCAATCTGGCCAAAAATGCTCTGAGTAGAATCAGCACTGTTATGCGAACTTTCAGACGTACTACAATCCATGTCAGAGAAGCCGGAAATCTTAGGCAATGTTTCATGTCTGAATGCATTTATGTCCAGTAATTTAAATCCAAACTCCTTGTCAACAAAAATGGGCTCCGAAAGACATATAACTTTTTCTTCGCATGCGGATGAAGTATAAAGCTCAGTAATTGACTTTGCTTTTATGCCAATGTCATCAAAAGGATGCACTGAAGTTTCGTAACAATCGTTATCACCGGACATATTTATGACGCTGAAACATGAAAACAACTCGTCAAGATATTATATTAAGAACGTTACTTAATATTATTTCGTAATATTCATGCATGTATTAGTTAATGATTTGTAATAAACTGACAGACTCATGAAAAATAAAAAGATATCACGAAAAATAAACATGAAAACACGCTTGTTCCATTAAACAAGATTAAAAACTACCTTCCAAATCAGGCTTTTGCTCTGCAAATTCCCGCCGTTGAAGACCGTTAGGACGGAAAACAAGAAATTCCAGAGTTACGGTTAAGAGCAACGGGTAATGCAAAAAAAAAATAATAATAATAATAATAAAATAAATAAATAAATAAAAACAATTCAAATACCGTTATAAAATTGCTTTATATTTTACTTTATTTTAGCCATGAAATTTTTAATGTATTCTAACTCCTGTTATGACTTCTGTTTCGAGTTTCGAGAATTTATTGCCATCAGATAAAAAAAACTAAACTACTAAAATACTTCTATGAAGTTTCTGTTTTGAATAACTTCACTGTCACCGCAAGAAGAAAGCACATTATTCAAATTACCGTATCCAATATGCCATCTAATGTTGAAATTAAAGCAAAAATTTCTAACTTTTCTTCTTTCTTACAGAGAGCAATTTGCCTTTCAGAAAAGCCGGAAGTTGTTATGAGACAAGTGGACACTTATTTTAAAATACCTGCTGGCCGCTTAAAACTTCGTGATATTCAGGTTCATTTGCTAATTAATTTTTGAATCATTTGTAGATTTTATGCAGTAGAACATAGCATATGTAATTTTATTTAACTAGTTTTAAGAAGTTGTCAAAAATTTAACTTCAATGTAGTTTGATTCAAATTATATGCACTTCATAAAAAAAAAAAATTATTAGCTTTTGAAATTCATTCAGTCTGTCTCTCTGGAATCTACGCTTAGGTTTGAATTTTGCCTATTTTTTAAACATTAGGAACTGTTGATTGATTAAATAGCAGGATCATCGAGAACTGGTTTCCTTTATGCAGGAGCATCATTATAATGTGTATTTATGAGTTTAAAACTGTGAGGAAAGAATTATTATTAGCTTTTTATATAGTGATATCATAATTGCTTACATCTGATGTTTAGTTTTGAAATAAAGCATCAATATAAAAGTTATGATGCATTCTGTGCTGCTCTGTTCTTTCTTCTGCCCTAACCAAGAGAGTGACATCAAATGCTCCTTTCCCTTCCAATCAAATCTCCTCAGACTGATTAACAGTCAATCTGCCCCTTCCTTCGATGCTATCAAATAGACTTTATCAATAATCAAACATTTGAAAAAAAAGAAGTTTTTTTGTTGTTATATGAGTTGTTGATGAGTTATATGAGTGAACTGTGATTTTTATGAAATCCTATTGTTAATGCAATTATTGCTGTTGTTTAACTGGTCCACAGATGTTTATTCTGTATCACAGTATACAGCGCATGCAGTGAAAATTTATTTTAAGGTTGGCTTATTTTTAGTTCTGAACCCTTTCAAAGTGTCATTTATACATTTGTAGTATTGAATAAAATGTCTAAATGTGTGTAGAAATTTCAGATGTAGTTAAAAATGAAACAGAAGGATGACTGATAATCAAATGATTTGTTGGTAAAATCCTAGTATACAGTGCAGCCTTGGCACGATTTTGAAAATTAACGCCAACACCAAAAATTACCAAAAGAACGTCTATGTATATATAGTGATAGTATACTATACACTATATTCTATCACTATATACATAATATATACTATGTATAACTATATATATTCTTTGAATACCCGTTTACTACTCATCATATATGTCCCGTTTTTACTGCTCATCATAAAAGTAGCCAAATCCAATGTGCACCGGATACTAGGATTAAACCGATTTGTTTTTAAAGGGTGTAATCCATAATATATCCCCTTTTTGGCTGATCTTTGGAATATGGTAACTGGTAGTTTGGCGACATTTTGGAGGCAACAAAGGTTACTACCTAGAACTTTGGTAATAATGTGAGAAGTCCTCAGTTCCGATTACGCATTATTTTGTGTGAGGGAAATGAGAGATCATGAGATATGTCATGTGACATTAATGGACAAATTACAATTCTTTAATCCGAAAAGGGGGGGGGGAATTTGGAAAACTGTACTACTATATTATTTTGTATTAAGCTTCATTGTGTGTTGTGTGAAATAGTGGAAGTGTGTGTGCCACGTAATGAAGATTCTGAAGATTAGGCAAGTTAGTATTTTTAATCATTTGAGGATATTATTTTTATACATAGTTCTAAATGTAAGGAGTAAATAAGTTAATATGGTATTATTGGAAAATTGTTATTAGCAATGATTTAGTTTAAAGTAATTAGGATTGTAATCTAATTTTTATTAATTTAATGTATGTGCTTATTTATATTTTAAGTACTGTTTTTTAATTTAATGACCGTGATTTTGTGAGTTATATGTTTGTAGTATTTTGGAAAACGTTGAATATTTTCATGCATTTTCGTGAAATTTTTCTAATTTATGAGAAAAAAGCAGTGTACATGGATATAGTGAAGAGTGTGCGCAATGCCATTTTTGTGCAATTCTGGGATGTTTTTTTAAGTAAAAATAAGTCGACGTGTACATGGTTTAGTGATATTTTAATTAATAATAGTTATTTTGTGAATTTTATGTTTGTAGGAATTTGTTATACGTTTCAGTTGAAGTAAACGTGTATGGAAATAATTTATATTTGACACTAAGTATTTGTAACCATTTGTAATGTTTGCGGTATGAATTCGTTGGTGACGTATTATAATATAATAGATAATTTAGAGGTAAAAGTTTTTGGATATTTTATTTATTTTATACATGGAAATATTCATCCTTGGAAAGAGTATATACTTTTTCGCGATCAGGTAATTTCATATATGTGCTCTTTACCAAGTTTAAAGATTCACAGAATTTTTTTGCATTTTCGTGCAAATTTTTGTAATTTATGAGAAAATAGCAGTGTAGATGGATAAAGTTAAGAGTGTGTGCAATGTCATTTTTGTGCAATTCTGGGATGATTTTTTTTAAGTAAAAATAAGTGGACATGTAAATGGTTTATGTGTATGTGCTATTCTGAAAAACGCGCAAGGAGTTTGCGATTGTGAATTTTTCCCAATTTTGCAGTTAATATTTGTCATGATTAAGCAGTTTTGTTACATAAAATTTCTAGCATAAGTGTAATTCGGCTAGTAGATTGTTGGAAAAAGTGTTCAGTAAATAAAAAAAAAGAAACATGTCTTTACTTTGTGGAGACAAAATGGCGGCAAAAAAAAAAAATAGAGGGTTGTTGTAGCAGAGTTGGTCGCCAAAAAATCGCCAAGTTACCATAATCCAAAGATCAACCTTATTTTTTTTTATTTCTCTGAAAAATGGGAGATATAGTGAATTTTTTTTTTTTTTTTCCAGATGTTCCTTTCCGTAGATGACCACCTTAGAAAATGGCCAATGCTTCTCTGAACATACATTGGTTCTTTCTGATTACCCACATCTACTCTGAAAGTCAGCAATTTGAGCTGCAGAAAAATTTCTTTTTGAAGTTCATAACATTTTTGTGGCTTGCAGTAGAAGATTCTCTTTCACGGTCGGTCTTTTTATAGAAATTTAAAGTCACTTTGTTCAGTCAGAACTTGATAAGAAGACATGGTAGGTTGTAGCTGCTCTTCAGTAGTAGAGATTGTCATTGACCACCTTAGAAAATGGCCAATGCTTCTCTGAACATACATTGGTTCTTTCTGATTACCCACATCTACTCTGAAAGTCAGCAATTTGAGCTGCAGAAAAATTTCTTTTTGAAGTTCATAACATTTTTGTGGCTTGCGGTAGAAGATTCTCTTTCACGGTCGGTCTTTTTATAGAGATTTAAAGTCACTTTGTTCAGTCAGAACTTGATAAGAAGACATGGTAGGTTGTAGCTGCTCTTCAGTAGTAGAGATCGTCATTCCTGTGGGAAGTCGGCGCCCGTTGGGCCTTTACTTCCATATATCATATAGATGTTGAACTTAAAAGTTTGTGTGTTTGTGAAATCCAGCTGTAGTGGATTGAAGGTGTAGCTCCAGGAGGCACCACCATCTATTGTCAATGTGAGTCAGCATATAATAAAATAACCAGTTCAAATATGTAAATAAGCAATTACATTTCTTTTAGCAGTTTCAGAGCTGTACTAAATGTTATTTGATTACACGATGACTTATTTAAGTTCACGGTAAGCAAATATCTTAACTGCATCTAGTGCTATGCCTATCTTATCTTTGGATTGTTTGAGTTCAAGTTAAATTTGACAAATACTTGTAATAAATTCCGTAAAATCTTCCAAAGTCATTTTCAGAGTTTCATATTTCATTTATATTTTCTAATTTCTTCAGAATTTTGGGGTTTGCAGTGTTACTTCGGCTACCGAAGCAAAGGATTCGCTGGTGTTAGAGGTCTGCAATTGGCTGTTAAAAGTTGAGGTTTTGAAATGACTATCTTTTTCAGTGAAATTTGAATTATCATTAGAAGGAACTGCTTCTTTCTTAAAGTTTCTAAGGCATTTTGGACAATTCTTACCATATGCAGCATGTAATCTTTTACAGTACACACATTGCACTTGAATTTCTTTGTGCTTAGCTGGGCAATCATAAGAGATGTGCGTTTCTGAACATCTTACAGAACAGGAAGTATTTTGAAAAGCTCTCTGTGTATGCCCATTACGTTGGCAATTAAAGCACTGTGTTAGGCATGCTCGATTTTTGTAAGAAACAACTGTAACACACATATCAAGGATGCATTTTAGCTTGTATATTAATTTTCCAACTTCCGTGCGCTGAACTTCTACGTGCAACATTGGTAAATAAATAGCGACTTCATCTCGCATTTTCTGTAATTGGTCTGGTCTCTTCTCCGCTTGCCGCATTTTCAGCACACGTGCGGGGCCACAAGGCTCACTCCTTATCACTATCACCACAAATTGTTAGTTCAGCCATCATTCATTTACGATGCAGCAACATTATTTCTAGTGTGTCTTTTCAGGATGGCCTTTCAAGAATTATCCTTACTGATAATGGGTAATTTCAGGAAATTATCATCAGTTCATATGGTTGTTTAGCTGAAACATCAATATGGTTAGTCAGGTTAGTCAGGAGATTGCAATATGTTTCTAATACTTGCTCTTTGCTAGTCTTATTTTTCAATTAATCAATTTGTATTTTAATTATGAGATTCGAAAGAATCCCCAGAGAGTAGAATCAACTGGAAAATCTTCAGTAGACATGTAAGTCTCAATTATTATCAAGAAGTAGGACTACTAGTCCAGAGATAGGCAAACTTTTTCAGTCGCGGACCAAAAATCGAAAAAAAAAAAGTTTGGAAGGCCAAGATAATTTTTTTTTTTTTAAATTTTAAAAACAATATACAGGTATTATAATTTAAATATGTTAATGAGATGAATGAAATTGCAATTTCATTTTTAAAAGTTCCTTATATTGAGGTTTGAAATGAGATGTACTGATTCTAAGGGACGAGGCTAAATGCCCATCTATCAATCTACTTCTGAAATAATTATTTCTGAGGTTCATACCTGAAAACACTTGTTCACATATATAAGATGAAGCAAACATTGCACTGATTTTCTGGGTGTGAGATATTAAATTTCGGAAACTTACTTTCGAAAATGATTTGTAAAACTCTAACTTTGGCATACTTAGAAACAACTGCT